TGAATCTGAACAACCAACGCAATGTGACTGGCCCTTTTTTCAGTGTTTGTCTCTGTCTCTGGTCTCTTGCTGGACAGCAACACAATCAAATCCCCTAGCGCCCAACAAAGACACACCTTTAGCAATTACTCAAACTAATTAACAATTTGGCTGTTGGAAAAATAACCCTATTAAAGCACAGTGTCAGTCTCTCCTTTTTTTTTTTTTGCTCTTTATGACTGCATGGATAAGTTAAACCATGCGCTTTTAGTATTTGATCCTCAGATAAATGTTGCTTTGTTATCTATCACAGCACTGCAAGAGTGCAGACTCTTCATTAAACCTGTAAGATGTTTTGAACGGTTAGGCATATTATCCCCTTTTTAAGTTAACATCATGAACGTGTTAGCATACATTTGCCAATTACACATCCAGCAGATACATTATTAGCATTCATTTACTAATCGTGCTTCTGGGGACCTGACAAAGCCAAGAAAACTGGAGTGTTGAGGGATAATTCTCTGTGGGCTCATTGTGAACTTTCACATTGCACATACCGTAGTCATTAGATGTTTGCTGTTGTACAAATATTTATTACAGTTCCTTGAAGTGTTTTTTGACACAACCACTATAACTGGTGGCTTGTGTTCATGGTCACATCCTGTTGTGTTGAATCCTACGTTTGACCCCATATTTACAGTAAAAGGTTACATTCTGACCCCATCTCATGCTTTTGACTCTGAAAAGAAAGCAGAAAATGACAACCACTATAGTTACATTTCAGCCCTCCACTGTTTGCCTTTAAGCACAAGTAACAGTTTCTATGGTGAACCTACATGGTTGTGAGAAGGTGAAGCTCAAGATACCCACGATCCTATGAGATCCTGCTCTGCTTTATTTCACACTGCGGGTGGCCACTATGTCTCTACTTGTCTCTCAGCAGTCTTCATTCAAATAGGATGTAATATAATGTAAATAAGCCAGGATGAGACTACAGCGGGTGCAGCCAAGGCTGGGAAGCCAGACAGGCACTGACTGGAACTGGAGTCAGGACAAAGGAACATGGAAGCTCGAACACAAAGACAAATCAGGCATGAAAGGGAGGGCCTCCACAGCTGACATTATTCGCACAGTAATTGGTTGTTTTTGTAGCCAACAAATAGGGCCTGTTAATGAATGGATTGAAAATAAAATAAAAGAACACCGTGGCTGCTCAGGAGGCAGACCACTGATAAGAGACTGCACTGCATACTGAGATTTTTTTAATGCCTTCAGTACTTAACCTCATTTCATAGAGGAGAGCTTACCATAAGCATACAGAAGCTCCTTAATGTACTGGCCTGACACTGCTGGATTGTCCCTTGAAGCTTTTTGGGGTGCTCTTTTGAATACAAAAATATTCAAAGGATTTTCGTACAATTTTAAAGCAATGTTACATTTGTGCTTTGAGCTGATAGATATTACTTGACATGTCATCTGGTGGTTAATGTTTATTTTGAGGTAACTGTTTCTGAAGGCTGGGTGGTAGGGATTTGATTAGTTCCCTTGCCCCTGTCTCACAGAATACACTTTACCTGGACTCATGAAGTATTCTGCCAGTGTTCAGGGTGTTACTGTGCCAAGGTCTGCCCTCTCTGAGTAACCTGCCAAAACAGAGAGCTTCTTTTCTCTTGTGCCCTAAAAATTTCCTCTCCTTTTGATGGTGCACATTTGTCTTTAAACTGAGTATTTAGTCCAGCCAAGAAAAAGAGGCCTCTCCTGCCTTGTGATGGACTCTGCAGAAAAGTCAAAGAGTGAACATGTAGTTACCTCTTCAGAGCTTCACCTATTAAGAAATTCTTTTGGACCTCTTCAGTAAGGATTGGAAGAATTCAAATGGTCTAAAATCTGCTTTCCTTCTCTGTTCTGCCTGCAGGGAAATTTCACCTTAAAATAGGATTCAGATGCACTGTTCCCGTGGTCTTGAATCAATCAGTATTTATGAATATAAACAGCCTTGTGAGTATGCTTAAAAAACAGCTCTGGAGCTACCCCATTTCTAATGAATTGTAAAACTGATGTTTTATATGAACTTGGACATGCAAATTATATAAAATTCACTTGAGTGCAAAGGTGAGCAAATCCCATTGTATGTTTTAGCTTATGTTTTGTAAAATGAACAACTCTGTGATTATAAATTATTTCTTATTTGGAGGAACACTGACATGCATCATTTGAACTGCAAAGGAGTTTTTATTGCATTTTTTAAAAAAAGGACCCCCCCATTTTTATATTTTTAACAAAGATGGGGACAGGCAATAAAAGAACAGAGTGATACAACAGCAGGCTATGATTCTGGATGGATGATGGAAGCCCTCCTGCAGGCATTTTGCCCTTTTAAAGGTTGTCCTACAAACTGTGCCCTGATGGAGTCAGCAAACATTTTGAATGGTTTAAAAGGGTCTGAAGGTCTCTGAAAAGGTCCACGTCTTTACAAAGAGTCTTGAAAAATGAATGCTAGTCAACACTTTCTGGAAAAAAAGGTTATATAGCATACTACCTGGATGTCTATAAGCACCTTTAACTGCATTTTTGCAATAGCGCCTTCATACTGCATTCAGCCATATGCCAAACTAAACCCAGTGGCTTTAGGCAATCTGAGTGGCAGTGGATTTGCAGAAAAGGGGGAGAGAGGTCTTCATCATGTTTCATTTCAGGATCCCAGTGCCCTCTGGCGGTCCTCAGAGCAGGTGATATCCAACTCCATATTTCTTTCTCAGCCAGTCTCTCCATTAATAGCTTAGTGCTGCTCCAGCTCCTATTGTCATTCCAGGAGGCATGCTGCACAAAGGATGTTGCATGTTTATCAGACCGGAAATATTGTGCATCTTTGCTTTGGGAGAATGAACTTTGCGAGGAGGCCTTCTTTGAATCCCTCCTCCTCTTATCTTCTATAAATGTATCTTTGTATCTCTTTCACTTTCTCTCTGTCCCTCTAAGAAAGAAAAGTTCTCAATCAGTGAGGCCAAAGGTAAACAGTGTCCCTTCTCTTGCACCTCTCTTGGCTCTGAGCATTGCTCATCAGATTACTGATTCAGTTACATGTGGAGTGTTTATCACTGTTGAGGCCTTTGGACATGTGTATTAATTAAAGTTCCTGTGTGTACACAATTCAACACACAAAGACTGATTATGCACTGTAACACGCCTGTGTAAACAGGTTTCAGTCCCCACAGTATAAGTAATACCAGGTGCACACATACAAACATACTTCTGTCTTTGTGAGGATACACTGACATAATGGATTCCCTAGCTCTTTACCCTAACCTTAACCATCAGAACTAAAAGCCTAACTGTGATCCTAACCTAGCCCTAATTCTCACCTGAACCCTAAAACCAAGTCTTAACTCTCAAAAGGTGTTTCAAAAAGTGTAGACCAAGCAAAATGTCCTCACTATGTAGCAAGTACAAGAACACACACTTTAGATTTGCAGAGTCAGCTTTGTTTAGCACCTCAAAGGATTTGGACATGTAACTGTCATTGAGTTTGCATAATTAGGACACTATGTCATCTGAATTTAAATGGTCCAGTTGCCCTGGTGATCTGTCACTTTTGCTGGAAAGCAAACTCACGAGAATGGCCACAGTGCACATCAACAGTATGTTACTGCAAGATGAGCACACCTGAGACTTCCTCTTGAGCTTAATGAACCCAGCAGTGCCAGAGAAGCTGAGCCACTTGTGGTTCCTGTCATTGGTTGAGATATGTCAAATGCACCATGTGTTAAACAGATTGTGGAAGGTTTCAGCTACAGTTTTTAAATTGTGTTATATTGGAGAGGGCTAGTTAGTCATTGATGCATTTATATGTGGACTTTTTAAAATGTCGTCTTTAATGGGATAACAGGCACCTTGTGAACACTGTTTTTGAAGCAGCTGCATTGTTATTGTTACTCATCTGTAGACTGGGAGATAATCAGTACATAGATAATGTGGTGTGTGACTGCTCTCTATGGGCAATTTAAGGAAACTGCAGAAAGCAGCCTTTTTGCTTTCTAGTGGTCACATTTAGGTCCTCTGGAGGAACAAACCCCAACTTGACCTGAAGCTCACAGGTCCTTTTTTACTATCTTATCCGACACAGTATCCTGTTCAATAAAATCAAAACACAGATAACATTTTGATTGAACTGATAAAAGTGCTCAACCTCCTACTTTTTATCTTTTGACTCTTTTATCTTCACCTTTTTTCCTTTATTTTAGCTCTCTGTGCTTGAATATTGCCATTTACCAAATGGTAAACATATAGTCAGAATGTACAAAGTGTATGGCTGCCACACCAAGTTAAAACAAATATGGGCAAGAGCTGACACGGATCATTATTGGTATACATAAACAAAATAGTACTGTATGTTGTGTCAGTCTTTAAGCTGAGCTGTGCTTTGTTGTGACAGGAGAGACTTTGACACTTTATTATTAGCCTAGCATATAGTCTCATTTATTCATCTATACATTACTAAAGATTAATTCAAAGTGCGACACTGTAAGTAAATAACCAAAATAACCCAACTTTAAAATATCTGTTTCACAGACACTGTTGATTATTGCCTTACCTCTTACCTGTCTGGTTCTTCTACAGTATTTACAGTAAGAAAAAAAATTCTAAGAATAATATAGTTACATAACTACTGACTTATTTAAAATATGATCATAAGATTTGCAGACATGTTTTGTTAAGGTTTTTATTACTTACAACCAAAAGTCAGATAAGATCATATATTACGTAGTAAATAAAACGCGAGATGAATAATCACCAAAAAATATTAAGTGCAGAAAAGAAGCACTCATATGTGCAAAATACATTGTTAATATAAACCTATCTCTGCAAAACAAACAGAGAAAGAGTGAAGAAGATAATTACTGAATTACATTAATACACACTTTACGCGACCACATATTACAATTGTACTCAACTCTCAAACTCAGTTCTTATAATTATATTACGTCATTTATTTACTGTATATTATAAATGCTCCGGTCCAGTAGGTGGCAGTGTGTCGCTCAGCTGTCTATTGACTTACAAGCAAATGCAAAAGGGAGGAAGACTTGACAATAATATTGACAACATATAAAAGGAAACTGTGAAACGTGAGTATACATACGTTTTTGAGAGCGTCTGAATTTTCTTCACATATAAGAATTGTACTGACATGGGACATGAGCATGTTACAAGATACTAACTAGTAGACAAACTGCTGTATTGTGTTAGCTCGACAGTAGGCTAGCATCACAGGTGACCGTACAGTCACGGGTTGAACGCTGTATTTTAAGTAAAAAACAAAACAAACAAACAAAACCCCCAAGACTATTCCCCTATGCAGCATGTCTGCATGACTAACAGTGTAGACTTGCCCCCTCGTTATATATTAATGAGAATCTCCACAGACAGTGTTTGTACTTAACTCAGATCGTGTAGTTAAGTATTTTAAGTACATGTTGTAGTGATAACCAAGTTGTCCTAAACATCACTAATCCGTCCTTTCTTTCCAGGTACCCTGATCTGATGCTGGCAGTGGAGAACTGACAGGTGGTTTTCCCATCATGGAGGCTGTGGCCGACATCCTTAATGTGTTCCACATCAAGACCAGTGGATTGTCTGTAACACTCAGCATCTTCCTTATCTTTCTAGGTCTTCTCTACTGGTGAGCAAATTCTTAAAATCCCTGTCAGTGTGTGATGTTGAAATTATGTAAGCAGCAAGTCACATAAAGCACAGGTTTTAGGAAATTATGTCACCAGTCAGCTAACACACACACACACACACACATATCAGTCAGGTGTTTGAAGAGGTGATCAGACAGAGGAGTGTTATCAAGAACCAAGCAGAAGGTTTTGGCAAGTGTTGGTTTATATTCTGCTCTGTATTTGATCTCATTCTTTTTTTTACATTCATTGCTCATTAACACAAGTGTGTGCTTTATCTTCCAGGTATTCCGTCTACCCCTTTTCAGTCCTTTCTCGATGTGGTATCAAACATCCAAAACCAGTTCCTTTCTTTGGCAACATATTCCTGTTTCGCCAGGTGAGCTGTAGTGACATAATCTCTGACATCTGCATCAATTCAAACAAATAATTTAACCTGTATCAAAAACTCTTTGGATTGTCAGACATTTTATGCACTGACACGAGAAAAAGAAATTCTTTCTAACATGTTATGTTATGTTATGTTATGTGTCTTGTTTGTGGCATTAAAAATGAAAAACAGTTGAATCCAGTGGCTTTGATTTGATATTCACTGACTAAAGAAATGAGAGTTCACACAGTTTAAATTTTATTTTGCTGATTTTGTGAAGCTGTGCCACTTGCATTTAATTAATGTAAAAACAAAGTCATTTTTATAAAATGATTTTAAGCATTTTATTTACAGTCTAGTCATTATTGGGAAACAGTTGTTTCTGAACGGCTTCACTTATTGGTTAAAATATTCTCTGTGTGGTTGCCAGTACAGTCTATCTGTTCCTGATGGGGAAAAATTTTATCACAAATTTTTTTATCTGGTCCCAGCTTGTTGTCAGTAGTGTTTTCAGATCATGACTAGGCTGGCGTATGCTGCTATGAGAACACCTGGCTAGTGCCTTCACAGACTTTCTGCAGTATTCCCTCCTCTAGCCAGTGACCTCTACTGGCTCCCCACGGAAAAAACTCTTTCCACAGGAATACTGACTATGGCTATGCAACAGCTACTAATAGTCAGTTGATGAATGAACAGAGGTCAATACAGTGTTTTGTAGTTTCCTTCTGTTTCAGTTTTTCTGAAACCTTCACACTCCCCACAAGATGTGCATGTTTATTAAAAAAAAAAAAAAAAAGCTCACATGCAAGTTATCATAGATATGTCTCAATGAAGAATGTGAACTTATTTTGTTACTTACGTTTCATTCTGCTCTCGGTGGCTTTTAGTTTGTTGCTTGAGCTTCATTGCTGTTACATCGGTGTTGTTCTTTTTAGGGGTTTTTCAGTCCGCTCATCGATCTCATAAAGACACATGGCAGAGTTTGTGGGTAAGTAAAGAGAAAACGTTCTACACCAACATTTCACGTAGTGATAGTCTGAACATTTTACAAATTTGAGGTGGATACTCACCAGGTAAACCCTGTTATACATCAGCATCATTAAGATTGTTTGGTCTGACCATTTGGTGTGCATTAGGTACTACATTGGCCGGAGGCCAGTGGTGGTTGTAGCAGACCCAGACATACTCAGACAAGTGATGGTCAGGGACTTCAGCAGCTTTCCAAACAGAATGGTGAGGGCATTAACCAAATCATGCACATGTACACCATGTGTTCACTCACGACTGTGACAAGACACTTCTGTGGAGGTTTGTGCTTATACCCCTCTGCTCTTCTGGGCAGGCTTTGAACTTTGCCACCAAGCCTATGACTGACTGCCTGCTCATGCTGAGGAATGAACGCTGGAAGAGAGTGCGGAGCATCCTGACCCCATCATTCAGTGCTGCCAAGATGAAAGAGGTGAGATAAGAATGCTCTGAATGACTTTGTGCTGATTAGAATCAGCTACTATTTCCACCCATCTATTCATTATCTATACCGCCTATCCTGTAGAGGATCAAGTTGGGGCTGGAGCCAGTCCCAGCTGACATTGCGCAAGAGGCGGGGTCCACCCTGACCAGGGCGCCAGTCTATCACAGGGCTGCTGTTTATTACAAAGATTTTTTTTGTGGTCGACAAATGTGCCAGGTCCAAAAGTACATTATAAATGACTGCGCGATCCATCTCACAGATAATATACTGTCTGTCATCCATGGAGGGAAAGATGTAAGGAGAACAGCCAGACACAGTAACTCTTAAGAATTACAGTTACTTTTACTGTAGTGTAAAGCAGAGCTGGAAGAAGCACTCACTACAGTAAAAGTAACAATACCACAGTTTAAAAATAGTCTGGTCCAAGTAAATGTTCTGCATTCAAAGTGTTACTTAAGTAATGGTACAAAAGCACTGGCATCAAAATATGCGTATAGTACCAAAAGTAAAAATACTCCTTATGTAGAATGGCCCATTTCACATTAATGTATATCATATTAGGATTATACATGTACAGTCATTGTTGACTCATCATTGTGTACATCACATGTTGCAGCTGATAAAGGTGGAACTTATTTTAACTACCATACATGCTTATAATTTGAGGTACTGCTGGGTATTTTGTGAATTTTCCACCAGGTAGCAATAAATCAGATCATTATATTGTATTTTATATTGTTTCTGCAAAGTAGCTAGTAACTAAAGTTATCAAATAAATGTAGTGGTATAAAAATATTTGCCTGTAAAATGCAGTGAAGTCAAAATGTGAAGTAGCAGAAAATGAGAATACTGAGGTAAAGTACAGATACCTCAAAGTCGTATTTAAGTACCGTAGTTACTTTCCACCACAGGTGTAAAGTATTAAAGTTCTTTGCTTTGTAACATGAAGTTTTAAGTTAGATGATGCACACATGGTACAGTGAATCAGGTTTTCTATAACAAATGTTTCTCTAGCTATGAATAGGGTTTGCTTTGGGATTTAGGGTGAAGCGAGGTGATTTCCCTATTTTTTTTTCATGTCTTCTGTGATTGTGTTGTTTTTACATGTTGTTACTTGTCCTCCCATATCGATGTCTCCCTTGGAGTTATCGGACAGCGTATTTTAGTTCTGTCCCAGTTGACTGTTTTTTTTTTTCGTTTTGTTTTTTTTTAGAAACACATTGTCATCAGGTTAGTCAGATTGAAAGCACCTGAGTGGTGTCTGAGCAGGTGCACATTAAAAAGGTCCTTTCAGTGTAATACCTGTTTGGTAATGAAGATCCTGTATAGATTGAAACATTGCTGCTGCTGCTACTGAATAAAATTACTGGGAGCTCAGTACAGTGTGCAAACTTTTTTTCTTGCTCTTTGCCTTTAAGCTGGTGCTCATGCTAAGCATGTCATATTAATTTATAGTGGTGCTGCCCCGCTGCTTTCAGCTGAAGTCAAAGTGTGCCTCGGATCATTTTGGTAACACAGTCCAGGTGTGAGGAGTGCAGACCTCATGCAGACCTCCTCTGCTGGAAAAGGGGATAATTGTAGCACATCTGTTAAGTGCCAGTTCTGTTAGTAACAATTACCGTTGTTCTTGATTTATTTTCCAAATTAATGAACCTGGTTCAGTTTTAATGACCACATTACATTTTTACCTTTATAATGACTCCACGTCAGCCACTTAAACTCTGCAATTCATTTGTTTAATTCCCTTTTAGCCAGAAGTCACTGAAAAATATTCAATCACACCATGTTTACCTTCATAGTAGGCATTCTCATGTGCCTGTCTGCTTCACCCACACAGTTTTAATCACATTATTAAGTAGTTACATTCTCTGTAGGTGCATTTATTGATATTTATATCAATCAAATCAATCAATCAATCAAATGGTCCCTTTCCTCGGTTTTGTGGCTTTGTATCAGTGAGCAATATTCACTAGAGCGATATTCTGCCTCTCTGTTCCCACAAGTTTCTGTAGTTCTCTTTTCTTATTCCCCTGCAGATGGTCCCGCTAATCAACACAGCCACTGATTCTCTGATGAACAACTTGAATGTGTATGCCGAGTCAGGAGAGGCTTTTGACATCCACAGGTAATGACAAAGACGATAAACAAAGGCTACTGTAATGATAGCTGGGTTGTTTTTTTGTCCTGGCTCATACTTGTGTGGTGTGTGTTTTTGCAGATGTTTCGGCTGCTTCACCATGGATGTTATCGCCAGTGTGGCATTTGCAACCCAGGTGGACTCACAGAACAACCCAGAGGACCCATTTGTTCGCCACGCTCAGTTGTTCTTTGGCTTTTCATTCTTCAAGCCCATAATTCTGTTTTTCAGTCAGTCCAATCTATTTATTGATATGCAGTATAAAAATTGTTACATTTGAGACATTTATGTACAGTACAGTCTTAATTCTATCCTACATTTAGTCATGTAGGAGTGTGGAAGGTTCAGGTTTGGTTAAAGCACCAAATTCGGTTTGTGTGTGCAGTTGCTTTTCCTTCCATCACTGCTCCTCTGGCTGGACTCTTCCCCAACAAGAGACGAGACCAGGTGAATCAGTTTTTTATCAGCATCATTCAGAAAATAATCAAGCAGCGAGAGGAGCAGGCCCCTGAGCAGGTGAACCTTATGGATGTTTAACAGTCTTAAGCCCATTAACAGTTTCATTGTTTGGATCATCTATTTGAAATGACTCTACGCGCTATCAACACTTTCCTTACAGATACATTTGCTATATAGTTTCTTTTCTTTTTTTGCTTGTAGAGGCGTCGAGACTTCCTTCAGTTAATGCTGGACGCTCGAACAATCAGTGAGTCTGTGTCTTTGGAACACTTTGACACAGTGGACCACGGTGCTGAGCTTGATCACGGAAGCACACAGCCAGCGGCTTTGAATCAGGACAGCGACCATCTTGGCCCACAGGAGCTTCCCGCCAGGCGTTCACAGAAGAAGATGATGACTGAGGATGAGATCGTGGGTCAGGCTTTTATCTTTCTACTGGCAGGCTATGAAACCAGCAGCAATGCATTGGCCTTCACCTGCTACCTCCTGGCCATCCACCCTGAATGTCAGTGCAAAGTACAGGAAGAGGTGGATGAGTTCTTCACCAGACATGTGAGTGGGTGGCATTGTGATTTAATGTGGTTACAATAGGGCATGACAGATGTGGGGAGTTGTGGCTTTATCTCATAATAAGACTATTTCATTGCACACAGATGTTTTTGTTTTTAAGTTAAATTCTTCACTAAATTAGGTTGAATTTATCTTATGATCCCCCTTCTGTTGTAGGAGGCACCAGATTACACCAGTTTCCAGGAGCTTAAGTATTTAGACATGGTTATTTGTGAAGCTTTGCGTCTGTACCCTCCTGCATTCAGGTAAATTAAGAACATTAAATGAGGATAAAGGATAAGGATGCTTTTTTCCTACTGTTAGTTACTTTACTGGTGTTGCTTCTGTACATCCTGTACATAAAGCTGATTTTGTTTTGTTTATACTGAATTTAAAAAAAATCATACAGGATCACTCTTTTCCTCATGAAGGTTTGCTCGAGATATTGAGCAGGACTGCGTGGTGAATGGCCAGTTCCTCCCCAAAGGAGCGACACTGGAGATTCCAGTGGGATTCCTTCATTATGACCCAGAGCACTGGCCCGAGCCTAAGAGGTTTATCCCTGAGAGGTAGGAGAGGAGCAGAAAAGCAAATCCAAACTGTCTGAACTTGATGTTTTAAGTTTCACCTAAATCTGGCAGATAGCTTAATTGTGTTTGGTGGTACATTTTAAAGGTGTCATCACAAAATAATTTCATCAAAATTCTGTGACTGAAAACCTGGTGTTGAAGAAATGACCTGTTGCTCTTTTTTACTGCTTTTAATTAATCTAACAAACTGGAAATTGTGGTTGACCCCCAGATTCACAGCAGAGGCCAAGGCCAGTCGACATCCATTTGTGTACCTACCATTTGGGGCAGGCCCCCGTAACTGTGTGGGCATGAGGCTCGCCCAGCTGGAAATCAAAATGGCTCTCATTCATCTGTTCCACAGGTTCAATGTCATGGCCTGTTCTGAGACGAAGGTGGGTTGAGACACTTTTAAGACTAGAGGCCGTCAGTGACAGGTCATTTGGAACAAGAAATGAACATTTGTAAAAATAAAAATAAAAAATAAAAATTGTATCAAGCATAATTTAAGACAAGACAAAGCACTTTCTATACAGAATGAGCATGCAGCTGTTTTTCTTTTTTTATGTTTCTTACTACACACTTGTCATTAAAGGTTTGGGTTAGTGTTGGGATGGGCAAAAACTACTACTGCCTCACCTTACTATGGTGATCACTGAGACTGTTTCTATTGTCAGATTTTCTCCTGTGAACATAGTATATTATTTATTAGCAATAATTATAACATCAGTGGTTTTCATGAGGGACACAGTAGTTAGCTTGATTGGCGACTCTAAATTGGTATGAGTGTGTGTGGTTGTCTACATGTCGACAACCCTATTCAGGAATAAGCGGTATAGATAACGGATGGATGGTTTTTGTTGGACATCTGCGATTGTTATAATTTACTTTATCTGTCAGCTGTTTCCATGTTTATTATGAACTTTGACAAAATATGAATGGAAGACTGTGATTTCACATATGGTCCTTTTCTTCTTTCAGGTTCCTCTTGAGCTGAAGTCAGCAAACACTTTAGGACCTAAAAATGGTGTATTTGTGAAAATCACAAAAAGAAACATGGGAGGAGCTCAAGTGAATTTTTCATCAGCCAATTAGAAGCTCACTCTTCATCTTCCTACATGCTGGAAAATGGAGTGCTTGGAGTGATCCAGAGATGCTTGATAAAAGCAGTCCTGGGTTCATTTTAATCTTGAATATATAAGAATAAGGAACTGGTGATTATTTCAAATGCTTCCATGAAACTGCCAAGGCGATTAAAGGCAGAGGACTAATTGGTCCTGTTTGAATGGTGTAACTTTAAAATGGCTCAAATGCAACTATTGACATTTCATAAAACTAGGGGTTGAATGTTTTTTTTTTTTGTTTCATGCACTATAAAATTAACTGAACTACTTTATTGCCTTTTTGTAATATATCTATTACATGACAGTGAATTTCATTCCACACCTGAAAACCAGATCAGTTTTGCCCTCAGCATTCTTCACTTAGACTTCAGACATTATCAAGCCTTTGGCAGACATTCTTTTCACACCAAAAACACCACCATTCATAAGCGTCAACTGTTACAAGAAAAAACAGTTTTTATTTATATACATTCTGCGGTGACATAAATTCATCAGGACACACTGTAATTACCATAAAAAAATCCTTGTATTTCCATTTTTTCCAATTCAGCTCCACTTCATTGCAGAAGGAAATATAACATATCAGTTTATCAACTTTGAATGTAGGATTTCTGTGGCAATCAAGAATCTACACTTTCCACCACTGTGTGAATCCACAAATCTTTAAAAAGCCACTAGTTGCTACCAGTTAAAGTGAAGACAGTCCCATAATAGTTTGCCCCTTGCCCGATCTCTTCAGAAAAGTAAACAGCAGCATTGTGACTCATATGTAATCAATAACGTACTCTGGATAAATCTGTTGTTTTTCAAACACAACATAGATGCTGGGGTTGCTCTCACAGTCAACACAACTATCATAGAAGTCTCTGCTGTGTTCTTTCTGTGGGGGGCGGACATAGCTGCTGTGTCCTCTGGTGTACTCCCCCACCAGGACCAAAGCAACAAACATGGTCTTGTTCAACTTTCTTCCGGCCTTGGCATATCTATTTGAGTAGGATGCATCTCTGGCAAAGTAGCTCCCTAAAAATAAGGAAATGTTAGTACTGATGCAGCCTAAAAACAAAACTGCGAGGGGTACAGCCTGCCTCTGAAACCTGGATTTCTAGTGTTACAGCTCCATACCAAAACAAAATACAGTCATTTTGAGGAAAAGACATTTATTTGGTGAGGTTTTTGTGTTGGGTATTGTAAGCTGTAAAGTCATCATATTATACTGGAATGGCTACTGTACCTTTGCCGTAGGCCGTGCCATGGACACCACACATCCTCCAGTCAAAGTTTTGCTCACAGATAGCCACAATCAGGGACTCATCTGTCCCATGGAACAAGTACTGCTTGTTTACAAATTTCCCTCCATTTCTCTTGATCATCTGCTCTTCTTGCCTGGACACAAAGAGAAAAACAACAACAACCAAAAAAAGATTACTTCAAGTGGGACATTTACTTTCAGGATTTTGAGAAAAAAAAAGCTTACTGTATTGTGTTGCTGTTGCTGAGCATTAACTGAGAGAAAGGATATGCTCTCATGTCTGCACTACCAGATATGAAGCTTCAGCCAGATGCTTGTTAGCATAATGACTGGAAACAGGGAAATGGCCATCTGGAGGCTCACAATGACAAGTAATGGAGACATCAGTAACTGCCTGTGGCCAGAAATTAGTCCAAAACCTCTGTCAAGCTATAATGTGTCATTTCTACACAAGATACATTTTACATAGTAATCTTATGAGGTGCTGCTTGGTGGATTTAGTTTGGACACAACCAGCCACGTTAGCCGTTTCCCCCCATTTTCACTGTTTGCTCTGAGCTGAACTAGTAGCTTTACATTTCACGGACATAAGAGTAGTATCAGTTTTCACATCCAACTCCTGGTGAAGCAATTAAGATTAGTTCCCCAAATGTCAAACTTCTTTTTTTAATTAAACCAAAAGGCCCTGTCTGTGATTTACCATTGAAAGACTTTCCACAGTGAGGGGTTCTGGATCCTCTGGATGCTGTTAATTCTACTGTGAGGCATGGTGCGCTTAAACAGTTTCTCAATCATAGTGTATTCCTTCATTGATTTGGACAGAAGTACGAGCTGTAAGATAAAAGTGCAAATGAGTAATTAAAGGGTATAAGTAAGCTCTCAAAGGAATAAAATGTAGTAAAAACTGAAAATTTTCAGCACAGTAATACATGCTATAAAGATACCTTGTATCCAAAATCAGGTAGGGCATTCTTGTCCCAGTGGGATGGGGCACTGTCAGCTGTGGAAGAGCTGGAGCTGTGCAATGATGCACTATAGAGGAGAAAAACATGTAGTAAGAACTGTATGACTAGTGAAGTCAGTAGAAATACCGTACACAGCAATATTACAAATTTCAGGGACAATACAAATGCTGTATCTGTAAATGGAAATGAAAATACCTGTTCAGCTTCACCTTCACGTCATTTGCAGACACAAAGCATGGCCTCCTCCTGACCTCTCTCCTGGTCTTGTATTTTACATTCTCCTGATACATCTGCTGGGTTTCCTTGTCACCTCTGAAATGGAGAATATACTGCTGCTTGCCGATATTAATGGCAATCGGTGTATCTCTGTCTGCCTGGTACACATTCTCCAAAGTCTGAGAAGTGACAGAAGTGTCCAAATCACCCTAAAGGCAATACAAAAAAACAGGTCAAAGTTTAGATTTCAGGTTTACCACTCATAAAATGTGATTCATTAATAAAGAGTGAAGAGGGGAATGTAACAATTCTAAATCTATTTGTTCCCTTAAGCAGGTGAGATTAAGGATTGCAGGACCTTAAACTGACTTTTGATTTGATTATTACTGAACAAAGACCCATAGCGGCATTACTTGTACATGTTCGACTGACCTGTCCATACTCCAGCCATTTCCCATTGTCACCCTTCCAGTACCAAAGCCACTGTGTTGTAAGAATAAAGTGAGGTGGCTTTGAAACAGAGGAGGCAGTGGACAGGCGACGAACTGGAGACCCTCCATAAGTCATAGTCGTAAAGTTAACAAACTGCACAATAGGGGATGCAGAGCTGAAATCAAGCAGCATAAGTAGAATAAATAAAATAACAGGGTTTAAAACATTTATTTCTGTAGAATATACTGTATTTATTTAAAAAAGAAACAGTGTGTGTGTGTGTGTGGTCTGTTTCTTCATGCACCTTTGGAAGCTTAAAACACTGAAGAGCCTTGAGGTGAGAGATGGATGATCCATGCAGCTTGTGTCATGCTCTGGGTCACAGTAGGCCTTCTCAATGTCCTCCATATTGGGCAGGTCCTTCCAGGTCACACCATCGCTGTCTAAAACCTGCCAACTATAAGGCAGGCTGCAATGGACATGAACACACTTCTCTGGGGGAAAAACAGAAAGATACAAAGGCACTCATATGCATATAGAGTTGAAGAGTTACTGTGTACAGTACAGCGTACTGTAGATGTGACTAATTAGTTCTACCAGCAACAATGTCACCTTGGAAGCGGCACTGTGTGCGAATAAAGTAGAGGCAGATTTCGTTCCTGTCAGCATCACTCAGGGCTTCCAGTGGACAAGTAGAACTGGTGGGGGAGCCAGGGTTGATGTGGGAAGGCTGTTGAGTGGGGCTTCTTGCCTCTGGCAGCACTGCAGTAGACATTCTTATATAAAATCCACTGTCTAGGATTCAGACTTAGATGACAAAAAAGCTCAGAAAAGTTATTTACCAGGAACAGCAGTAACTCCTTGACCCATGATGATGAATTTATTTCTGTAGAGCTGGTAAAGGTTTTTAATATTCTCCTGACTGAATCCTCTGAAAATCTTCGTTCCTTGTGCATCAATATTATGAGCTCTCTTGCAGGAAGGGCCAAACTTACAGTCACCCATGAAATAGTGCTGGCATATATGAAGCTTGGTGCAGGAGGTGGTAAACTTGCAGGAACCATGCACACCACTGCCCTTATTGTAATGGGAGCAGATCTAAAGGGACATGTAGAAGAGGGTGATCACATCATTACAACAAATGTATATGGCAGTTCATTTGGGAATTTGCAGTTTTTGCTACACAGTTCCTACTGTTGCCAGTAAAATCTACCTCAGGGAGTAGGTAAGGATCATTCTGCAGTAACAGCTGGAACAGCTGTTTCTCTGTCAGGTCATGAAGGCCATATCTCTTTAAAATCTCTGCATTGTGGGGAGAAACCAGGCTGTGGGGATTTTTACACTTGTGTCTAGAAATGACAAACATAATATGTCAGCAAAGGGTTTAGTTTAATTTTGTTTCCGAATCAACCAGTTGAAATAACCAGCGTCTAGAGATAGATGAGCTAGACATTTTTGGTTAATGCGCTGTGATTCTTTTAGTTTGTTGTTGTTAGCTGGTTGCAATTCTATTTGTTTTTACGTTCTGCTACCTATTGAGCAGCCTTATAGTGTCATCAAACGTACCTGCAAAATGATGACCAGAACTATTTTCAATCTATAAACTGCATCAACTACACTTTATGTGCACAACACCACACATTTGTGTACCGTGCAAGTTCAAGAGGGTTATCTGAACAGAGCATTTTCATAGCAGACATTTTGTCATATCAGAAAAATCATGTTACTAATTGTATTAATAGCAACTGCATTCCACTTAGGTGAACTGGTATAGTACACCTGATGGAACTGAACCATACTTAATAGAAGTCGTTTCACCTGTGCCTCTCCTGTGACATAATGTCTGTGGTGGAGCAGCTGTTATTGCAATCTTCTGGTCAAATGCAGAATATAGAACTGATGTGCTCTTATGCATTTTTCTAGGTACAATTCACATTAATCAGCATCACTATGGCTGCTGTTCCTTAGCCAGATGTTGCATTGGTACTGGTGATTGGTGAGCCATTTGTGATTTTAATGAAAACAAACAAACAGCAGTCTTTTTCAATTGTTTTGTTTTCCACAAAGGTCCACATAGACTTCCAAACAGCAAAGCTCATATTTTTCTTTAATATAAAGGCATTTTGGTTGTTTGTGTTTTCTAATGTTTGGTGTATTAAGATAGATGGATACTTTATTGATCCCAAGGGAAATTCAGGTAAGGTAAGTAAAAGTTAAATAAAATGTACTGGTGTACAAAATGCAAAGGTTCTCATTTCTCTGTTCATAAAGCATTCTACAGTATTACAATGTCTGTTTCACAAAATGATTAAATAAAATGTGTTAATGTCTAATAGTAATTGCCTTTAATTATAATATTAAATAATATGAGACTTAAGTCTGGCAATAGCAGCCTACTTCACAAGCAGACACAATGAACATAATTACGCTTTGCAAAGATATTATTATTATTATTATCATCATCAATATGTAAAGTTCCTTTTTCTACGGAGTGCTCCGTAGCTGTCTCATTTTAACATATGTTTACCAGCCACTTTATGATGAACAACTGTACAATTCATTGCAGTGCTTCCGCCTTAACATATATGTTAGTGTGGCTCAAAATGTTTCAGGTTTTGGTGAAACTGTTATTGAGGTCTACATTATATTTAGAGGTGTTCCTAATATTCTGACCCTATCATGTATGTAGTTGCGGAAGACAAAAACAGACCAATACCACCTTTAAGTATGACCTCACTCCTAAACGTTTAATTGAATTTATACATTAATGACATTTTTGAGCTTCATAAACACCGATGTTAGGGTAGTAGTGTTGAACTGAATTGCATGCAATTGTACAGGTGTACCTAATAAAGTGGCCAGTGAGTGTAAGATCAGCATTAGCGTAGCTGGGGTGGCCAATTCCAGTCCTCGAGGGCCGCTGTCCCCTGTGGAAGATACCAATTCACTTTATCTTTCCTCTAAGATGGTATTGTTAGGTAATTTCTTAGTCAGTGAGATATTGATTAGATACTTGTTTTATAGGAATGTTTAAGTGTAGCCAGGATGTCTAGCTCAGGCTGTTAAATGCTTAGTTCATTGTCATGAGTTCTGCAGGCTGCATCTAGGCCAAGGTCAACTAGATTGAAGAGTCTGCCGGCAGATGGATATTGTTAGTAGCATGATATGCTCAGCCATAATCTTAATCATAATATCTTCCGAGGCTTACTGTTCGGACATGTCCCTGAATGTCCTGTATGTTTTTAGATACACACCACTAATCAACATTCACACACTTTAATATTCTTCATGTTTTGACTACTGCTCTGGTCAGCTGCCAAGCTGGCATACCAGGTGACGTCACGGTTTGACGTGGCCTGCGTAGGATGGGGCTAGCCCAACCAAGTGATTAAATTGTATAGGCTATTAGGTTCGGGGTCTTTTCATCTTCCGGGCTGCCTGCGCGCAGTACTGGAGGTGGAAGATGCCTGGACGTGTGATGTTAATTTTGCCTGTGATCCTTTGAATAAACCAGCACGGTTATATTTTTTATATATCCAAATGGTCTGCGTCGTCTCTCAGAGTTCCTGGTTGAAAGAACTGGGTCATATCACTCTCACACAGCTGTTATCGCTTATTCTTGATTAAAGCTCATATAGGGTGGAGCTTTCTGGGCAATTATGTGAGCACAGCAAACATACTGCACTAATAAAACGCTAAAGTGTGAGTTGTCAGTTTTGTTAGGGCACCAAAACCAAGAGGAGAGTGAGACCTGCAAGGAGTTGGGGGTCAACATGTCTGTGTATGCCAAAAAGTGTGGAAAAATAAGGTCAATCAGGCAACAAATGTGACAACGTGTGGGGGCTTTAAAGATTAAAACCTCTTCCCCTCCCAAATTCCACTGTTCTAATGTTTGTTTGTAGGCTACAGTTTAATATAAAGGTGCAGCCTACACTTGACCTTAGAATTGGGCTACTACCATATCACTGTAATTACAACACAAATAGAAAACCCGATAGGCTACTTACCCAAACACACAATCTCCGCAAACTAAATACCTGCACAGGTGCAAACCATCGCACCGTTGACACTCTCCAGGTTTTTTCTGACATATCCGCACACTAGTTTTGGCCACCACCAGACTGTCCGGGCACAGTATCAGACCGCCGCTGACCTCATCTCGGCCCTGCAGAATGGCTATTTTACCGTCGTCGAAAAGGACACTCCTCAGGACAGGTTCCGCAACAGTAAAAGTCTGTGCGATCGTCTCATCCAAGCGCTTGAAGTCCAGACATCCCTGGTTGTCGCACAGGGTCTTGATAATGAATTTAGAAATCACTGTTGTCATCCTGAAGTGACTTTATCCTGTTTGGAAAAGTAAAATCCACCGTTCGTTGTTACAAGTCGGAACTGCCTCCCTGGTATTAGAGCGACACATACCGGTGAAGTTAGCTTTCTATTCGAGGGTTAAGTGGAAACCTAAGGAAAACACAAGTTTCAGTATACAAAACGAAAGTTTCTCCGTTTAGTGCACTAGCCATTCTAGAAAAAAAACACTGACACCAGTGGTTTCTCACTTAACTTAATTTTATTGCCGATATAATTGCAAACCAGAATGACATGATCAAAAAGAATATAACCCAAAGAGTCTTTAAAACACCTTTATTCTAGTTGTGAAAAATGTTTAAATTGGCGATTGGGAAAACAGTAAAATTTCCCCTTAAAGCATTTTCCCCAAATAAAATCCTGATCTGAGATAATCCAGATAGGAACTGCCCGATCGTACTACGAAAGTGATGCTAACTTCAGCATCGTGAGGGACACCTGGTTACGGAGAAATGAAACTGAAAATAACAGAAACAAGTGGTTTAAAATCAGTGATACTATCACTGAAATAATGTGCTGACATGTGCCCCTTTTTATAATTTAAAAGAAACGATGCGTTTGAGTGGTGTGACACAAAGGGTGAATGTGAGTGTTAGGTATTTTTTAGTCAGATAGACATTGGTTAGACACTTAATGTATTAGAAATGTTTAGAGTAGACAGGATGTCTAGCCCAGGCTGTTAAATGCTTAGTTATTCCCTTAGGGTACTCCAGGTTGTTCAGGTTCAAGGATAACTAGATAGAAAGTTGATTACTGTTAGGAGACAGAATGTTTAGTCTTATTGTTATGACGTGTTTGGCCATAATCGTAGTCATAATATTTTTTTATGCTTAATGTCATGTCAGAATGTTTTTAGCTACACACCACATAATCAACAGACATTCACACATTGATTTTCTTTCTGCAAAGCTGGCACCGGGAGACGTCACGGTTTGGCGTCCCTGAGTAGTATGGGGTTAGCCCAAAGTGATATAATGTATAGGCCTGTTATGGTTCAGGGCTTTTCATCTACCAGCTACCTGCGTGCATGTTGGAGGTGCAAAGACTCCTGAGCGTGTAATGTTAATTTTTACCTGTGTTCATTGAATAAATCAGCACTGTTTTGAAGTTGCTTCGTCTCTCAGAGTTAACGTGGTGAAAAGAACGGGGGTCCAACATGAGCAAGAACCTAAAGGCAACACTGGCCCATAGCAACCACTGCAGGGGTTCAGTGTACCTTAGCAACCATGGAGGACGAGCTTTCAGTGATGAAAGAAGAAGGAAAAGATGTCACACAGGGACAGAAAGAAGTCCTCTACAAGCGAGTCGAAGAACTGAAGTAATGAAGATAAAGTTTCAAGAACATATTAAATTGAAAGTACCTCTACCGTTAACTGTTACGTTTGTTAAACTAAACCTAGCCGCATTAGCCTATCTAACGCTAAAGCTAATGCTAACATTAACTTAGTTCTGTTATTGAAATATGGGGTTATAACTAAGGGTAAGCTAAGCATTAGTACCTAAAACATAGCGTTAGCTAGGTTACAGTATATACAGTAGTTATATTTATAAGTATGAGGCTAGGCTACATTATCACTCAGCATGAAATATTGAAATTTTTTGAACACCATCTTCCAGGATATCTTTCAAGCTATAATTATTTCTGTTTCTGAAAACTTTGAAGTTGTTTTTATTCACCTCTTCTCAAGATGTTCCAATGCAGCCCTCCTGGTAGAGAATGACATGTTTGAACGGTTCATCAGCCGCCTGGATCCACAGGATCTGGTGCCCCAGGCTGTGGGGGGAGGTGTGGGGCCACCAGGAGCCTCCCAGGTGGAGAATGGGGTGAGTGACACCTGGTGATGAGACTATGTAGCCATATATACAAACCTTAGTACCTGTTGAGATTGTAGGTTTTCCACTGAAAGTGAACACACACGGTCTGCACACAAGGTCACAAAACTGTATTAAGAATTCAAAACTCAACCTCAAATACTGTTTAGGTTGAAAAAGTGACACACCATATCATTGCATATCAGGAGCCATTTATTTGGCTTCTTGTCACAAACTTATTGAAATTCCTCATCAAAAATGAATGATAATGTAAGATGAGATGAGTGTACTGGTTTAGATAGGCCAAAATGCCATTCTAAGCTGTTTAAGACCGATTGTATTAAGCTGTATACATTTTTAAAAATCAAAATAAATACTAAGTATGACACTAAAATTGTCTGTTCCTAGAAATGAAACTTCTTCTCTTTCCTGATAGACTTGCATGATTTTGTGTGTGTGTGTGTGTGTGTGTGTGTGTGTGTGTCCCATTTCTACATATCAGACCGGCTCCAGCACCTGACCTTGGAACAAAAACTTTATGTGGCACAGAGAGAAGTAACAGACACACAACAAGAACAGGACAAGCTCAAACAAAGATATGACCGAATTCAGGACAACTACAAGGTTCTAACACAGCATTGCATGTAAAAGTAAAACAACCAGAACTGCAAAGTACACTTTTAATCTATAACTCGGCTTGTCTCTCCAGGCCTCTCTGAAAGAGGCAGAACTACGTCTGACAGAGATCATGAAGGCCAAGAGTGAGTTTGAGCGCAGGTTGCTCAAACCTGTGAAGGATAACACACTGAAAATGAAGGATCCAGAAAAGGTTCTCCAGTACATAGAAAACAAGTCAAAGGTAAAAATCAGGTTGAAAGTAATGACATCAAACTTGTGCAAACTAGCATTTCAATAGAGTACTGATTTTATCTCAACTTGCAAAACATGTCATTAAAACATTAAATACCAGTTTTAAACTCATAGATATGTTTTCCTACCTAAATATGTTAAATAATGTTAATAAAAGAACTTGAAAGGTTATACTTTATTCTCTCCCTTTTTTACACTCACTGTGGAAAGGTTCCTGCATTAGTCTCCCTGCCTTTAAAATGCCATCTTTAGCATCATTAGAATTCCATAGTCAAACTATTGTGTTAAACTATCCTCAGTGACGTCCTTACAATAACAGAGAACTGTAAGAGAGGATGACAGGCATGATGTTTTTCTGACTACTGTGTGTATTAGTACAGCTTCAGTTCCAAGTTTATACAGTAGGAAACATCTGATAAGGGTAAACAGCACAATATTCAGTAATTGTATCCCTTTATTAGAGAGGGCAAAGTCCAGAGGGATAAAGTAGAACTATGATAGAGTTTTGATTTTGATTGTCATTTGCTTTCTGCTGAACTGTCCAACTGCTACTTATCATTTTCTTCTTTGTCTATATTATTATTCTGTGTACATACACACACACACAAACAGGTCACTCAGTTGGAGACATTTAATTTGAAGAACCAGGCCCTGAAGGTCCAGGTGAAGAAGCTCCAGCAGCAGCTTCAACACAAAAGAGAGATGGGAAAAGCTGAGTATGAGGTAGATAAATGAAAGCTGTAAAAAGGGGCACTTTTATCAATTGTGACTCAATAGATTGTTACATTTACTATCTATGACAATGTGTGGTGTTGTGTATTTTCTGTAGGAAATTTTCCACGAGTACAGTGAGCAGATAATTGACAAAAATCTGGATGAACTTCAAGTCAACAGTTTGAAAGTACGGTGTATCCTCAGCTCATACAAGGTAACTCGTTCGAAATGTGTTTTCAGTGTAAATTTATGAAACCACTCTGCAGCCAAGTTAATCATTTTCATCCTGTGTGTGTGAATAGGAGAAGCTGCAGAGTGTGACACAGGACTCTACAGAGTTGAGCAATGATATTATAGCCAGGAAGCAGATGCTGGCAAAAATTGAGGAGGAGATAAAACATGCTGAGGAGGTTTGTTATTAGTTCAAAAATGAGTCAAGTATTAAGAACCCAACTTTAAGATGAGTGTGGCCTCCTAAATCAAATTTAGTAATTCATACATGGTTTTGACTATTGGACACAAAGAGTAGCAGAGTAATTAGTAATTTAAACTAATTAGCTCTAATTTCCCTTCTGGGCTCCATCCCTTCTTCTTAATTTGTCTCCTTTCAGGAGCGTTTAAAGGCAGAGGCCCTCAACCAGCACCTGCACCACCAGATGACAGAGTATCAGGCTCCTGATATCATTGAATACATTTGTGTCAGGGACAAACACAAGAAGCTGCAGCAGAGCATTCACACATTGCAGAGGAAGGTCGGGATTGCTGAGGTAACCCAATACTTTATTCTTTTTTCCCCTCCAAATACAATCAGCTGTCTTTTGGATTTCTTCTGGGATAACATTTTGAAGAGTAGTTATCTTCTTTTCCATTTTAATTATACCAAAGCATGCCTCAGTCCAACTGGAAAAAACTGTTGTGACAGTATCCAAAACAGTGGACTCTCTTCTGTTTTCATTAGATGGCCCTGAAGGCCCACACTAAAGCCTGGAACACACAGAGAGCCATTCTTACTCCTGCAAACACTGCTGCAGCTGGAGCCAGGTATGGGGAGGACCAAACCCCAGTAAAGCTACCATACATAGCTGAACACACAGGGACACAGGGGGCAGGAGAGCCTACCGGATTTATTGAAGAATACATGAATGTGTCCTAAACTATGGTGGCAATGAAACGACTTTGCTCCATTTGCAGATGCCCTGTTCTCCAACATCTGATGATTTGTTATAACAATTTGATACTTCTTGCTTGTTAGGAACTGTATAAATGGCAGCTTGAAGCCTTCATCCTTTCATGACTTTTAGTTGGTCTTCACTCATACTCACTATGTGTCCTTGGAAGAATTACACCATTATGAGGAATGAAAGGTACATTATGTCATGTTCATCAATAAAATAACTTCATTTTCTATACTATATTGCCACCATTACCATTCACTCAATCTAGTCTTGTTACTTTGTATACCATTATGTGGTTTATGCATTATCAGCTGCTGCTGCATTTAAACTCTTTGGGGCTGAGCCAAAAGGTAGGCACTGAGCACTTCTTTTGTCTGTGGTTTCACTGGCTGGACTAATAGTCAGATGACTACTGCCTTACACCTTGTATCCAAGATCCTGGGTTTGTTTTACTCCTCTACATGTGATATAGGCCATTCTGGTTCCATTTTAAAGTTGGCTGTTTTTAACGTCCACTCTCTGACAAACCGGTCATTTTTGATGAATGATTTTATCACCTCATACCAGCTAGATTTTATGCTTCTTACAAAGAAAACTGCTATAGTACAAGAGTTCTCGCCAAAACCTTTAAAATGATCAGAGTAAGTTTTGACCTTTCTGCTTTTAAGATCTGAATAGTTCTTCCACTGTGGTTACACTGTAAATAGTGTATTAAAAACTGTAATTCAGGCTCGACAAATTACCTCCTTTATTAGAAAGAAATTCTTGGAGTTATAAGCCCTCGAAGAACTCTAAACATCATGATGTTACATGCCATATATACAGTTATATACATAAAAGTGGGAAAGCTGTTTATTTATTAATTCTGTGATAAGTTGTTTGGAAAATGGCATCATTACTTATTCTTATACGTTTCCTCAAAAACATCCCACAGGTTAGAATGTCAAGCTCCTCTAAAACATATTTAAAGGCACTTTTCACAAATACTGTACATATTACAGATGTACATAATATCACAGAGTAGCTTAACGCCTACAGACGCCATAACCGAGTCCTACTGGTGACGATACATAGTGATGAAAGCGCACGCATTTTTCACAACTAGCTTCATACTACAGGTGGAACGCCTGCATCTCTGGATGTATACTCTACATTTGTTCTAAATTTAAGTCATTTCTACCCAGAACAATGACAACATAGAAAGAGATTATAAAAATAAAAGTTAGTAATTCAAAAATCAATTAACTTTTGATTATTATACAGACAATGTCTGTCAAAGACAGTGTAAACCTGCTGAAAGAACATTGCTTGTTCATTGCAAAACAAGTCTTTTCTAGATGTTATTACTCTAGTCAAACATTCCCACAACATGCACCCACTAGTGTTATTTCTACAGCACTACTTAAAAAACGACATACAGGGGTGCTGTCACATACATGTCACTGGCACATACAGTTTCACTAGGGCTATTGCATTTAGAAATAATTATTACTTGATCTGGACACGTACAATATGAGCTGACTGACATGGGCTCTTCTTCACCAACTGTGTGATACGTCCTCCTGTTGCACGTGCCGTCTTCCTGTCGCACGCCAGCCGTTGTGTGTCATCAAGTGCAGCAAGTCCACAGATGTCGGTGTCAGTCACAGAGGAATACAAAAACAAATCACTGACATCCTCACCTGAACAGAAAACAGACTAGAGAGACTCTAAGCAAGCGGCTGTTTTCAGAGACTTTGACAAAGAAAGAAAAGGGGAAGCAGGGTCGACATATCTGGAGGCTTTTACAGTAACAGTCATTAGGTTCATGGCTACCGGCAGCACTCCCACAAGGCGCTGCCTTCGTTCTATACACATCAGTCAATATGAAAAATGTCTACACCATATACGGAGGGTCAACATCCATGCTTTAACTTATTCAGTCATGTCTTTGGATAGATAAAGCCGAGCGAGGCATAAATGACGCTAAAGCAAGTGTCCCGCACCGTATTTTTAACTGTGTTGTGTATATTGTAGGTAAGAGATGATTTGTGATCATTTCACACTACTCTCCACAGATTATAAAGATGAAAAGGCATAAGTTATTAGGCATATAGTGTCCCTTCATTGTGAGCGACTGACACGGGAATTCAAGAATGCACTGAAATGTTCAAAGTTCACAATGAAATAGTGGTTTTATCCAATAGTCAGATGTTGTTCCAGGCAACGTGAGAAGTGAATCCAGCGCAGGAGGGATCTTTTTTACATTTCTGAGACAACTGATGGTACATCTTGTCAAAGAAATTTTCAGACTTTACATGCTACTATTAATGTATGAACAGAGTACCGTTAGTTGTTGAGGGCTCTTCAGGGTTATAATCAGCCCCACCATCAAACTATTTCTGTCAGGTTGTCACAGCACCTTATATTTCAGCTACATCTCAAAAAGGTAAGGCTTAGGAAGCAACTCACAACACCTTCAGGGACCCTCCTAGGTAAGAACAAAAACAAAAAAATCAAGTTCTATATATGTCAGGACACCACTGGGGTCACTACGAGCACTGTTCCGGGGTCAGTGGTAAACAGGAGCTACATGCACTGTGTTTTGTTCAAAGTCACACAGTTCATGAACTAAACTAACTAGTATACATTTTCTAAAACCTTGAAGGAAGCCTTTGTGATTTGTTGTTTAAATTTATTTTATAAAAAGAACATGTCATTGATAATGTCAACCTAAGCCTATCAACACATAACTAGAGAGGTGATTTGTCTGACTGACAAATCTATCTACACTGACCTCTACTTCCTCTTTATGCTCTCATTTAAAACTTCAGCCATCTCACAAGGCAAGAAGTCTTTCCCTGTCCAGGTCCATGTATTTTACATACTTTTAGATATTTGTATAGACTCTGGTAGCATTGTGCATCCATCTGGAAATCGAGGAGAAGTTTTTGTTTTACATCTCTGGTTCCTGAGCCGGATGTTACATGGTGCAGGACTTGTCCAGAGGGTCCTGAGGAGACGTAGGAGGAGGCTGTGGTGCCTGGCTGGACTTGGGCAGCACCAAAGGCTTGGGCCTCAAGGCAGGGGGTTTGAGCTGCACTCCCATGCGGGGTGCTACCACAGGCTTGAAGGTGCTCATAGTGTCGCTGGAGGAGCCAGTGCTGCGGCGGATGGGTGGCTCAGTGTTGGCAATGGACCTCAGCATGGCTCCGTGGATGGGGCTGAGGGACTCGCTGGAGCTGGCCGGTGTGGGACCCCCTCCGCTTCCGCTGGAGGTCTGCCGCTGCTCCAGGGTGTCCAGCACCACGTCAGGGGCGTGCTTGGCTGAGCTCTGCCGCTCCAGCTCACGCAGCTCATTCAGAGCAGTGTTCATGGTTTCTTCTATGTCCTGCAGGAGGCAAAGAGAGTGTGTGTGAGACAGGAGGGGGGATGTGGTAGGATGGTGATCATATAGTGTAGGTGAGAGAAAAGAAGAAGAAAAAGGATGATTGGGGTTAAAAATGAAGGAAAGAGGGAAAGAAAAAAAAACACACAGGTATGGGGGTAGAAGGTTGAGTTAGGAAACATAACAACTACATTAGTCGAGAACCACAGTGACTTTTTTTAAAGAAAACACAAAGCCTGCATTATACATGCGGAGTTAGTAGAGGGTATTACTTTGCACTGGCACCTCTCCCTCTGCATGCTAATGACAAGACACAGTATGTTCATCCCAGCACAGTTTCAAGTGCTCTCTAGGTATGTGACAGCTTCCTATCAGCAGTAAGGCAAAAACTGAGGTCTGCTTGAACATAAATTATTACCAGTCAGGCTTTGGTTGATTTTGCAGTAATGCTCCATTTTCTGACAAATAAGAATATTATGGATGCATATAAACAAGACTGCAGCAAATACAGGTGATGGGTCCTGATGTCACACTGCTGTCTGCCTGTGAAGCTAGTCTTTTGTGTATATTTAGCACATGGAACAGTTGCAGCCAGAGGAAGCAGAAGACAGGGACTGACTATGGTTTTACAGGGCGGGGCAGGGCTTTGATGGTGGAGGGAGCTGCGGTCGGGTCGCCGCTCGTCCCACGCTGACCTGTGCGATAGTCTCCGGATCCAGGGACTTGCCACCATGGTGGTGGTGATGGTGGTGGTGGTGGGCGTCAGTAAAGCCCGTGTAATGGCCCGAGGAGGTGGAGCGGCGGATTGGGGGGCTCTCCATCTTCTTCAGGGACTCATGCCGGCTGATGTTAGTCAGACTGCCATGGCCAGTGCGGCGCCTTCGCTCAGGGCTGTCCATGGGCATGTGGTTGCGACTCCGCAGCATGTCCCGCGGGCTGAAGTGACCTAGAACTGGAGAACCCATTTCTGGGGTGCCACCATGTCCACCGTGACCCTGCTGGGGCGCATGCACTATGCAGTGCACATCACTAGGTCGGGCAGGGGGCCGTCGAGACGGTGGGTCCGATCTTTTCCTGTGCCTACTGAGAAAGAAGAGGGGGACAGAGAGGAAACAGAATAAATTTATTCATACCATGACAGTTTTCATTACAACAGAAATGTAGTGGAAAATCATTCAAAACTCATTTAAAAAAACATTTTAAGAAAAACTGAATATAATGACTTGTAAATCATCCGTGTCCTGTTTTACATTGAAAACAATACAGCAAAACATTATTTGAGGTGAAACCTCATCAGTTTTATTCCTTGTTCATATTCCAAAAAAGAGTTGGGACTGTTACATTTCAGGGCCAGTAATGAGGTAAAACAATGAAATGATGATTCCATTTGAAACAGGTGATGTCAATAGCTGATTAGAATCATGATTTGGTATAAAAGTGGCGTCCAGGAAAGGTCGAGCCCTTTAGGAGCAAAGATGGGCCGAGGACCACCAGTTTGCCAACATACTGTGTGCATGAGCAAATCATTGACGTGTAAAAATAATGTTCCTCAAAGAAAGTTAGGAAGGGATCTGGATACGTCACCTTCTACGGTGCAGAACATAATTAAAAGATTCAAGGAATCTGGAGGGATCTCAGTGCATAAAGGACCAAGCCTAAGCTGGATG